TAAGTTCACGTAGACTCATAAACTCCATATGAAAACTTACTTATTAAAAGTATACCATACATTCTGTCTAGAATCTATTTCTGGAAAACTGAGTTAATTGTGCTTATTTTATAAAATTTAGGGCTAAGCAAGGCTTGTAAATGTATTTCAGCATATCTTAGTTGCTCAACCACAACCTTCTAAATGGAAGAGTGAATTGTTCATGGTTCTAGTATAGCAGTGCTGAGTCATGTAGACTAGTGCACCTGCAAGCAGGAGGTGGTGAGTCAGAGATGGGCACACCGGCAAGCAGAGATGCTGAGTCATGGAGATGGTTAATCTGTAGCAGGAGGTGTTAAGTCATGGAGATAGGAACACCTGCATGCAAAAGTGCTGAGTCATGGAGATGGGGGACACCTGCAAGCAGGATATGCTGAGTCACAGAGATGGGTGCACCTGCTATCAGGGGCTTAGACCCATGGCTCTGGTAGCAACTCAGAAGAGAAAAGCCCATTGACAGCTCTAGACTTCAGAGCCTCACTCTGTAAAAAGAAAATGCATGTATAATTCAATATGTTTAATGTGTCTTACAGGGCTACGACTCTTTTGATTCTTTGAAGCATTATTAAGTTTTCAAATGTGCTTGAAAGCTGTGTCTTCAGACAGAATTACAGCAGAAGAATCTAGAGTCCTCTAAAACAACAAATAAACCTGGACTTAGTCTCATTCTGAAGCTTTTAAAGAAATTATTAAAATGTATAAAATGAATATTCTATACACAAGTAGTCATAGTTTCAGAATTTACACTGCCACAATTTATAAATAAGAAAGTACCTTCTATAGATGTTTTATGCTAACACAAAAATTAAACCATAAAGAAAAACTCTACGGTATTTTCCACCCATTAAATTTAATAATTCCATACTCTGATAGCTGTTTTTATAGTAGACTTCATATTCAGGAAGAACGACAGGCTTTCCTTCTTAAATTAAAATTCAGATGTAGAGACACTATCATTTGTTTCCTTAGGAAAAATAACACCAGAGTTGATGCTTGACTGTACATGCTAATTAATATTTAGTACAATCCTACATCTAATGCTTTGTTAATCCATAGGAAATTGGCTTTTAAAATTTTTACCTGTTACTTGAGGCTGCCAAAAGGCAGAACAGTGTTTCCAGTGACAACATACAATGAACATCAAACATAGCAGAAAGTGTACATTGTTTCTATTTTGAAATTATATGAAAATAACAGGTAGAAAATTATGTGTAAGTCAATGTATAAAAGTGTCTAAATATTATCAACCAATACATGAAATGACATTAATATATATGTACTTTGTAATAGGTTAAATAACACCAAAAATTCAAAATGATTTGCCCTGGCTCTAAAGCAACATTGAAAGACCTTAAAGTAACAAGTATAGAGATGGTGCTCTCAAATCACGTGACTCTCTGCTTTGAATAATTTAATTCCCCCCACACTGATCTGCAGATAATTGAATCTCACTCAACAGTCCAGATAGCTTTCCACCTGCAGACTGAAAAGCTGATTCCCAAAATCCATACAGAGAGCAAAGATGTTAGAATAGCCATGCTATCTTCGAGCTGGAGGCCAGGTAGTGCCTAATTTCAGAATTTCTCCATTGTTAAACCATCAGTCCAGTGTGCCAGACCATGAGGTTCTCTGGAGAAAACAGTTGTCCAGAAATAAATACACACATAAACAACAGATTTTCCTCTTAAAAAAAGATTGTATTTATTTTTATTTATATATCTAAGTGTTTTGCCAGCACCATGTGTGCACACTACTTTTAGAGGCCAGAAAAGAGACCAGAACTGGAGTTACAGAAGTTATGAGCTACCATGTAAATGCTAGAACCAAACCAGGTTCCCTGCAGGACCAGTTATGGCTCCTAACTTCTGAGTTATCTCTCCAGCTCTGTAAACAACAGATATTCAATAAAATAATTCAAGGCAATTTAGAAATGGAAATTAAATATTAAATGAAATTTTCAGAATCACTGTGCAAATAAATGTAAATGAAATTAATTTCAACCCTATACGTCAAACTAAACAAAAAGTTCCTTTGAAATATATCATAATATGAAACATAATAGCTAAAAATATGAAGCTTGTAGAAGAAAAGCCAAGAGCATCTTTGGTCACAGGTATAAACAATGATTATGGACAAGTGTGTTCATGTTCACATGTGGGGGTCCCTGTGGGGGTTAGCGGGCTGGAACTAATCAGAAACATCTATAGACATTTCTCATGATATAAAAAAGTCACATATGACCATAGGAGTGCAAAGTATACCAGTACTTGCAGTGTCAAAACTCATAAAAGTATAACAATATACATTCAAGTGTATGTAAAATATACATCATTTTTAAAATAGGAAGAATCGGAAATAATAACATGAAAATTATTCAATCGGGGACCTTTTAGAAATAAGGAATGCAGAATTGTGGGCCAAGTTTTTTTGGGGGCGTTTGGCCTTCTCTGATATTCATTCAGCATTTTTGAGTAAGTGTTATATGTCTTCCACTATTCTAGATGCTTTGAAATATCATATCAACTAGGAAAACTAACAAAAGATTCAGCTTTTAAGTTGCTAACAATCTACATGGAGAATAGGAAGAAACATTTAAAAGAAAAAAGGATTATCATGATAAGCAGTAACTGATGTAGTATTTAAAACCATGACCATGCTTTTAGAGATGAAAAAGCTAGCCTATAGCAACACTGTCATCAACCTCCATCTTCCTGATGCCAACTTTTTAAGTTATGTTATGTCTATACTTATGATGCATATTTGCCTTATGAATTGATCGTGCTTTAGGGTTATGTCAGAAATAGCATGTACAAGTGCATCTTTGAAACCTTGCCAATTTCCCAAGGTTGCTTTATTCCTCAACAGTCTGTAGCATTGAAAACTTGCATAAATATATATAAAGCATCAACTAGAATGAGAGAAAAGGTGGATCCAAGGACAGCATTCCTTATGCTACTGAGTCACAGCCAAGTAGAGGTACCAAGACAAAGAGCATCCTTTTGTCTTCATATCAAAGGCAAGCTACTCTAGTGCAAGAGACTCTGACGCCCAAGTCATTAAGATGTGGTTGCACATAAAAGATGCAGTGCAGATAATTCAAACTAGACAAGAAAAATGTGCTGTAGGAATAATTCTTCTTCATGTCATAGCATCTGGCCCAGATAATAAATAAATCCTCATTTTTCTCTTCCAGTGTGATGCCATGAAGGAGCCACAGAGCCGACTTGTTATCTGCCATTAATAGCAACTTTGTGGGGTGGTCCTTAGCTATGGGGAGACTTCACTTCTGTACGTAAGACAAAGACTTTTAACACCAGAAATCCCCCTAACAAAGAACAGCCCTGTCAGAGACTCTACAATGTGAAGTTAGCCAACATACTGAAATAGTAAGGACTGTGTGGTGTTTCTGTAACCAGAAACCACACGAGAAGTTAAGCAAAGCTCTTGCAAGTTTGTTCTTAGGCACTGTCCAAATGTTAAGGATGAATCACCTTCAACTTCAGCTTTGCAGGTGCATCCTGGGCCCTGAAACTCAGATCCATGCAGCAGTCTAACAATCTTCCAGAACCATGCATTAGACACCTGTTTCCTCCTTATGTGTCCCGGGCCTCTTGGTACACCCGTGATTTTGTCTGCTCACACATCTAGCTCCAACTCAAGTCCTTTTCCTTGGCAAAGTCTTTCTCAATGAACTTCACAGCATGGCCTTTGATCGCACTTTCATAATTAAGGGTCACTAAGATAGATCATTTACTGTCAGATGTATCCCTCCCTCTTCAGGGTCCAACGCCAAATTGGGGGATTCAGATCACAGGTTTTTCTTGCAGAACCCAGTTGAAACCACGTGGCCTTCTCAAAACTGGTTTGTAAATGTTTGCATTTTATAACTTACAAGTGTTATTATCGATGGTCTCCTGGTCAGTTTATAAAACCACATCTAAAACACAATGCACCAGGCTGAGAATACAGGATCAACAGGACCTTTCATGGCATCATTTTCAGAGGAAATAGCAATGAACTATGTAGCATTAAAATTTGATCTGTCTCTGCACTGTCAATAGCAAGCTGATAACAAAGTTTTATGTGATCAGAAATGCTGAAATGATTATTGAGGATAAGATATCTCACTGAGTCCCATAAATTTTATGTGATCAGAAATGCTGAAATGATTATTGAGGATAAGATATCTCACTGAGTCCCATAAATTTTATGTGATCAGAAATGCTGAAATGATTATTGAGGATACGATATCTCACTGAGTCCCATAAATTTTATGTGATCAGAAATGCTGAAATGATTATTGAGGATACGATATCTCACTGAGTCCCATAAATTTTATGTGATCAGAAATGCTGAAATGATAATTGAGGATACGATATCTCACTGAGTCCCATAAATTGGTCATGGCCCCTCTGGCACCCACTGAGGCACTCACCACCACTCCGTACTCTCCAAGCCTCTGATGTAGCCTCAGGGAAAACCCACATGAACTTCAGATGCTTTCCAGCAGTCTAGTTATGTCTAGGGGCAGGAGGCAGGTGGAGGCTGCAATGAGCCACAGGGCACACCATTGCTTCATTTGGACGAACGCACAGCACACAAGCTTATATAAGATAGCATTACAAACCTTCAGCTTCTCTTATACTACTCATCTGCAAAAGCATTCACTGGAGAAGGGGCTTAACAATAGACAGGAAGAAAAGAAAATGGTTCGTAGATCTGCCTCTTTGATCTGAAAGGTGGTCAATAAAAATATGGAAATAAGTACTTTGAAACCAAGATACTCTTAAAAGTCACGTTAAAGCTAGCCACTACTTATTTCCTCGGCCATTCCTTGAGAGATTTCCATGCTTCCCTTTAGCGTTAAGGTACCACACTATGAGCCACCATTCTGCTTTCAGAAAACACAAGGCTTTTGCAGAGAGCCTCATTGGGGGCAAAAGAAAAGGGATTGCTCTTACCTCTCAGCTCCCCCAGATCCAGCGATGTTCCCAGCTGCTCTAGCAAGGCAACCCGTGCTGCGTTCTTTTTATGTTTCTTGCCATCATAATGCTGCTGGGCCATCAGAGGGTTATTAAACCAGGCTGCGCAGAGGCCACAGTATCTGTCGGAGTCTCTCCTTTGATAGGGAGGTGTGACCACAGGAGCCGTGTCCACTCGAGGGGCCTTAAGTGAACTCAGGGGTGTTGCTGCGGAAGAAAGCAACAGTATGTCAGTGTATGCCTGGGCACACTTACCCTAAGTATTGAGGAATGAGCATCCCATGCTCAAGATGGCAGAGGCTTTGTCAAGACTGGGAAATCACCATTGCCAACTATCATTTTGAGTAAGGTACAAACAAGAGTCTCTAAACCACTGAGATCAAAGTTTGGATAGTTTTGTTTTTTAAAGGCTAAGGAGGTGGTCTTTTGTGGAAAAAATAGTTTTGAAGTCTTGAAGGATTATTCTTGCAGTACTTGAAGTACAATCAAGTCTTAAAGTCTCAGAATGAGTCAACTGGTGCTATAGTGAAAACAACCAATAAACAGAGGCTGGCTGACTTGCATGGTACCAACATTGTCAGCCTTTTTTTTTTCTTTTCTTTTTTTGGTTTTTCGAGGCCGGGTTTCTCTGTATTGTTTTGGAGGCTGTAGACCAGGCTGGCCTCAAACTCACAAAGATCTGCCAGCCTCTGCCTCCTGAGTGCTGGGATTAAAGGCGTGCACCACCAATGCCTGGCTCATATGTCAGGTTTTTATTGGGATAGGTTATTTCAGACCAATTCTACTAATATGACGTAGAAAGGACAATTTCTCTCCCAGAATACCCAATGAGACACTCTCCTGAGCAGAAAGAAGTTTCTTATCCAAGCTGGAAGGGCACATATCACTATTTTGAGATTGTACTCCCAGCTATTAATTTAACACATCCCATTGTGAATTTAGTTATTTCTGGCCCAGGGAAAGAATAAAATTGAACTTGAAGGAGTTTACTAATGGAAAGTAAAAATATCTTCTGTATGCTTTCAACATACAAATTGCTTCTTTTCTTACAATGAGTGTGCCTGGAGTTACTGTCCTATTTCTCAGATGATTGACTTCAAAGACAGCAAGGGGAATGCTATAAAGGTGAGGGATGTAGTTATAATGCATGGCACAGAACTAAATACTTCATCTCCAAGGCCAGAGCATCTTCTCAGACCCCCAAGAACTTTCATGCTTAGTAAACTGAGAGGCCACCTCTTTTGTTTTTATAAAGGATTACACTGCATCATAGAAAAAAACCAACATTTTAATCCAAATATTTTGGAGGAAGAAACTGGTATTCAGTCTCATTGGCTTGTTAGTCATAAGCAATTTAATAGCATCTTCCACATGTCCCTAATCTCCATGACAAGGATTTGTAGCTGACAAAATCATGAAGTATTCTTCCAAGAAAAAGCAACAGCTTGGGAAATCAAAGACAAGTTAAAGAACCAATTAACCAACTTCTTGAGCTTCCAGATTTTTATGGGGGACCTTTAATGTTTGAGTTAAATGACTGATATGCAAATACATACTTGGTATAGGACATTTTCATCCAAGCAATACACTGTCGTGACAGTATCTCAGGCAGACTTACTTTTATTCTGAATGTTCATCATGGTTGTAGCTAAGATTAAACTAAATGGGCCACTTTGTGGAGGAACTCTGAAGCATTTAATGTTTTTTAAAAGCCTCCCTGCTGAATTTGGTCAGCTGGAACCACACAGAAATGAAGCTCAAATGTGCGCCATATGTCTCATCTGCCATCTGGTATCATTCCATCATGACTTAGCAACACTAATGAAAGCCCCAAATACGCAGTCGACCTGTCTATGAAAAGATATCTGTCTCCTATCTCAAGGAAATCGCACCTTGCTTCCCAAGTTTCCTGCATCCTTATCGGTTTCTGAAGATGCACAGCTACATGGCAATGGGAAACACATTTAAAAAAATCCTACAGTCAGAATGAATGCTGGCTCCTGAAGCATGATTGTTTTTCTTTAGACTAAGCTCTAGAAGGGATTTCATGGTCATTTTTGTTATTTGATACCTGATATTACACATCTGGGCATGAAAGACACACAAGAAAGACTATCAAATGGATAACCCCCTCTAGCACACTGGAAAGCCATTTGCTCTTCTGTCTTTGTTGGAGATTTTACTCCCCCAAACACCACAGTCTTACAGTGTAAACCTGAAAGTTTTAACTTTCCCTTTTGTCTCATTTTCAAGCCATCTCCACACCTCTGCCAGTTTCTATTCCTGTGAAGCCTGTGAAGACAAACAAAGGTAGCAACATGGACAGCCTTGAATCAAAGCCATATCCCGGTCAGTCAGGGCTTCAGCATCACTGAGTTGGGTGATTCCGGATTTGCAATGTCTTTGGTTTCCACAAAGCGACACTCCAGGGTCACCATATCTTTTTAAGCAAGCACATTTGTGGTTACAAGCTCACCAGGTGGCAACGGAACAGGCTGTAGAAATACTTTCTCTTTTTACAGCTTTGAATCAGTGCCAAATATAGAAATTATATGAGTGGAGTGTACTCTCTTAATTTTGCACCTGTGTGTGCATGAACCATCACACAAGGCTTAGCCAAAGTGTCCTATCCTAACCAAATGAATACCTAAGAGAAATATTGATGATTTTTGATTGAAAAACTTCTTTAGTCAATATGTAATTTTACTTTAATTTTATACTTTTGTATTCTTTCTAACTGTAAGAAAATACCCAATACTGACTTTACCTACCTTTTTAAAATCTAAATCTAGAAGTGTTTGCAACTCAAATCCAGTAGGTTTTTTATGTAAACATTAGATTCATCTAAATCTTTATATCTATATACCCAGATTGAACCTCCAACCAAACACTTCAGAATAGGTGGTGAATATGAACCAAAAATATTCGCACACACACACACACACACAACACACTAACACAGGTTCATATTTCCAATGTCCACCCAGTGCTGAGAATCATAGCACCAAGTACTGCCATATTTCCTTTAAAATTACCATAAAAGAGCAGGAGGTGATGATGCAGCACTCAGGAGATAGAGGAAGGTGGGTCTCAGAGTTCCAGGCCACTTTAGTATACAGAGTGAGTTCTGGAACAGCCAGAGGTACACAGAAAAATCCTGTCTTGAAAAAAGTTCCTCCCCAAACTACCATAAAACTGTTTTAGATCTCCATGAAAAAGACAGCCTCATAACACCAGCACAACAACAAAAAAAGCCACATCTATTTTTATGTTTTAGGAAAACATAGCTCTTAATAGTAGCTAATATTATACATTAATAATGCTAACATTAAATAACAATTTTGATTGATTTCCCATTTTGATAGTGGGAAGTTGTCATCATCACTGCCATCAACGGACTCTTACCAGAAGGCACATGTTACCTCTCTGTATTCCTCCTATAGGTATCCTGTCCAATGGGATGCTCCTTAATTCTTCTACTGAATGAGACCCTCACAACTTAGAATGAGCTCACTTTCCTTCCTCTAAACTTACAAGCATTTCTTCACTACACCATGCACTTGGCATTTTTTTTTTTTGGTTTTTGGTTTTTGGTTTTTCAAGACAGGGTTTCTCTGTATTGCTTTAGAGCCTGTCCTGGAACTCTGTCTGTAGACCAGACTGGACTCAGACTCAGAGATCCGCCTGTCTCTGCCTCCCAAGTGCTGGGATTAAAGGCTTGCGGCGCCACCAACACCTGGCTCCACTTGGCATTTCTTAAAATCACTTTTAATCTTAGTAATCTTCTTAATTGTTAATGACATTAAAGGGCCGAGTCCACCAGGGGCAGTACCACCCCTAGGCAAGTGGACCAGGCTTGTGTAAAAAGTCCAGCTGAGCAAGCTATGGAGAGGGAGTCAGTAAGCAGTCTTCCCCAACGAAGAATGGCGAAGTGTAAGCCGAATGAACCCTTCCGCAGGTCGCTTTTGGTCATAGTGCTTAAACTGGGACAGTGCATGTTAAAAATCCTGAATGTTTTCAGTTTTAAAACACTTTCAGCCTAAATGTTTTGACCAGAAGCTCATGGATTTGTAACCAGTGAAAAGTAACCCAAACAGACCCCATTTCTCTAAGAATTAAGACAGCTGGCAAACAGTTTCCCTCAAAACTTGACTTAGAAGAGTCACAGCCCTATGCACATTTCATATCCTTCTGCATGCCTTAGACAAAGTTTGTCGGGAAACAGCATTGCAGCAGTAAGTTATTAGATGAGCTGTCTCGAATAATAAGCTGGAATAATGTGTACCTTTGACCCCTGCTTGTATTTTTCTAACAAAACCACCAGCTGATTTGAGCACAAAAAAATATTTTCAGTGTCTGCACTGCTGTCAAAATACTGCCTTACTCTGCAGCAAGGCATGGCCTGCAACCCACTCTGCATGTGTGTAAGTAGCTAGTGGAGTGCAATCCATGTCTTTCATTGAATGACAGAAACAACTAATCAATGAATAAATAAATGATCACCATTATAAGCAAGTAAATTTAGATGGAAGCAAATTGTTTTCTTCTGCTTCTAAACTGTGTCATGAAGGGATGGAGAAACTTATAAGTGAGGGTGTGAGAAGATGTTGGAGGGGAGGGGTTGACAGCTAAACAGCTTGCCAAAGTATGGGTACACACCCCAGGCTTTCTTTCTCTTTCAAACTAAATTAGGCAAATTAAAAGCCACTATTCCCTAATTTCCATCCATTTTGCGGGTGGCCTATTTACTTTTTGGAGACTATAAATTGTGTGCACCATTCAAGAAAGTTTGCTTTCAAGCAGGAAGTTGTGCCTATCCTGGCGCCCGAACTCTCTTTGGTTTCTGTTATGGTACTGTCATCCTCACTTCTGATGATGCAGTTGTTTGGACTAAGAAATGACTCAGACATTTGGTTACACACTCCGGTGTGTCTGCCATGGCATCTCTAGAGGCTCTGGAGTAGTGAATGGATTCATTTCTTGGTAGGTTTATCCGGCAGCATTTTGAGGAGGTTGAGAGAAGATGAGTCTACTGGGAGGAGATGGGTCTTTGGGGTGCTACATGTCAGCAAGATCCCTTGTATTTCATCTCCTGCCTCTTGGCTGCCAGGAAGAGCAGTCTTAAGCACACCCATCCCCCCATTTACCATGATGCTCTTTCCAAGAGCATGGGAGTACAGGCAACCATGGACCAGACCCTCTGAAAC